GTCGGTGACAACAATCTCAAGTATCTTCACATACCATCGCCGGTATCGCTGGACCTGTTGGACGGGTACGACGAGGATATGACATACCATTCAAGTGGCGCCAACTCTAACAGTAAGATCAATGCGATGTTGCGATGGCTGTCCACCGACAAGAATCTCGATGACCGGCTCGAAGATACCGACTTCTTCACGAGTCGGTCGCTGTTGTCATACATAATGGCCTTTCCCTACGAGAGGGATCAGGCGCTGTCTGTATGCGCCACTAAAATGCGAGGCAATATCTACTTGGGTCCACACTATGGCTACAACCAATCGTCGGATCAGATCCACAACATCCAGTACTTCAACAAGTGTTCATTCAGTATCCAGCGATTCAAGCAATACGTGACGAGCAGTGATCCCGACAGACCTCCCGATCCCAACTTCTTTAACCCCGATTTCAAGACCTATTCCGCGGTCGTGAGCACCAGAATCCAGGATAAGTTCACCAACAGATTTGTCCATTCGTTGGTCTACACGTCGCCCGTCGACTGCATTGATGGCCATAAGGACTTGGATCCGGAATCGTTGGCCAACACCGTCGAGCTTAGAGTAATCAATGAGTTGCCGAAAGGGCGCCAAATTCAGGCCAACAAAACGCTGAAGTGGTGGACACAGGCCTTCCTCGGAGGCGTTTCCAGCATTTATTGCGGTCATCGAGACTACGAGTTTATGGTGAGACGAGTGGAACGGCTGGACGTCAATGGACTGCCCGTCGACGCCTTCTGGTCGACCAACGTTTGCCTTAACTTCTTAAACAATTTCCTGAATCACGTGAAAGAAGTGGTCACTACTGACGACCCGAATGTGGTTTACGTGTTCTCAATGCAGCCCAGGAAGCGCCACATCACGTGCACCCGCACTGAACCGGGCGATGAGTTTCAGGTGATTCCTGAATGGTTTCTCTATAAGTTTCCCTACCATTAGGCCGAGTGCCTGAACAGCAATGTGTGTTGAAAGTTGTATGCTGTATAAAACCAAAGTTGTATGTATGCTGTATTCACAGATTGTGAAATTACTTGAAATAAAAATCAAATTTGTATGTTAATCATATACTTGTTTGTTACTTTATTGATGAAATTAGCGGTACAATATAGTTGTTTCTAATTAAATAAATACTATTTGTTATGCACTTGTTTGACGTGCTTGTAAATGTTGGGCCCAGAGTTGCACCGATAGGCACAGCCCGGCCAATGACAGGCATAGGGCTTATAATTGTTATGAATGTTCTTATGGTCCGTCAAATGCTTACGAATGGGAAACTTTTTGCCACACTCTGGCCAATCGCATACGTACGGCATATCACCGGTATGTCTATACTTATGTAACTTGAGTTTTTCGGCCCTATTGGTCACGAAATCGCATCCAGGCCAGTCGCACGGTAGAGGTTCGCCTTTGCGAACATACGGATTGGGTCTCTTATATGGCTTAAAGTTATGCTCATTAACCCTATGCTTATACAAGTCATAGATTCTGAAAAACGTTTCATCACAAGAGCCAACCTTACATTTATGAACCGGCTCTTTATTATGAACTATAGTGTGCACTTTAAGACTATACGCCGCTTTAAATGCTTTACTACAACCGGGGATCTCGCATACAAAGGGTCGAGCACTTGAATGTTTGGTCAAATGTACGCTCAAATCTGCTGGCGTACGGGCTTTGAAGTCACAGCCAATGTAATGACATTTAATTTTCCTTTCTTTGTGACGAACATAATGTTCAGTCAAATACTGTTTAGTATTGAACTGCTTATTACAGTCGGGATAATCGCATGTAAAAGTTTGGTCACTCGTGTGAGCCTCCAAATGGTACTTAAATCTGTTTACACTCTTATAAGTCTTTTGACAATCACCCACATTACAAATGAATAGCCTGGTCACATGATCGTAGTACTTGTCATTGAACCCTCTATTAGCCTCTCTCCAGTGTCTATTCCGGTGTCCTTTTAATTGCTTTTTTGTGGCAAATTTCATATCACAGTCGGCGTAATCGCAATGAAATAGCTTTAAGGGATCATCGGATCCAATCAAATCACCGTTTCGTTTAGGCTTTGGTTTCAATCTTTTATTACAATCGGTGTAATCGCACGAAAGGGTCCTATTCTTTGACCGCTTCTTGCGAGTGGAGTCCGATGTTGTCTTCTTCTCCACACAATCCTCATCCGAGTCTTCGTTAATCACTTCACTCTTATAACTAAAAGTTTTATTCATTTGACATCTTCTTTGCTTTAATTGTCGTCCATTTGATCCACTCTTCCGCACATGAGTTCCCTTAACAACGATGTCTTGTAATGGCTTGACATCCACTGTCACCACGTCCTGTGACTCCAATAAATCCATAAACTCTTGCTTGTCTTCGGGTGCGATAATTGTCTCATACTTTGCGTGAATTTTAATTAAATGTGATTTTAATTTGTTTGCAAACAATAACTCATTGAATAGTCTCTGGTTTTCGGTCTTTAATTCATGCAAAACATCGTTAATACTAATCATAACTACATTGCGATCACTTGCCATCAAATCCATGGCAACATAAAACTTGGGAACAATTAGTTGAACATAAAACGATAGAAATAATTCAATTTAAAGTGTATTGAAATTTCAAAGTTAAAAGGCATTTGTAAACACCGTATGTGTGGTGAAAGTCATGCGCTTTGCGTTCAATAAGTCAAATGAAAACACAATTCAAAACACATGTTAGACACGAGTGTTGGGCACTGTATCCGCACTTCACTCACAATTAACTCACAATTAACTCTTCATTTAAGCCATTGTTTGCATTTCACTATTAATTTAATGCTATATTTAGTGCTATTTATTGAGTGATAAACTGGTGGCGAAGTGATGGCTAAACCAAACATAAATACGGATGAGTTGTTACACGAAATACAAAACCTGTCAATAAAACCGACTCAAAAACTATTGCAAAGTAAAGACTATTACGATGTGAACAGACCTCAGATCAAGGTATGGATCAAATGACAAACTTTCCACGTGTTATGTTAATTGACTAATAATTGGATACAATTTGACTGGCAGTCTATACAAAACTTAGCAAGGGCACACATCGACTCATTCAATTTCATGATTGAAGAGGGCTTACAGAAAGGGATTCAGGTGTGTGTCCATCACATGATAATCTATGGTTTTGTTTAGTTTAGTCATAAGTTTAACATTGATTTCTATGCAGAGTCTTAAACCTCTTGAGTTCGAGTTGGCGTCCAAACAGAGGATCCGAATTCAGATAATTGTAAAGTTTTTTTCATTAGTTTTTATTGACCGTAGTTTTAATGAATATTATGTTTTGTCTGTGACTGCCATCAGGACTTTGCTATCTATCCACCGATTGTTCACAAAGACTCGCAGTCGAAGACCGTTCACGTCTTCCCATCAGAAGTAAGCCATTGATCAGTGATGTTGTAATCGATTGATAATTGGATGCAATTAACCGCAACTGTAGTGCCGAATGAGGGGGACGTCATATAGAGGTAAACTCCATCTGACCTTTTCGTGGAGTATTGACGGGAAGATGCAGGAAATCATCGAAGAGGCCGTCGGAGAGATTCCTATAATGGTTAAGGTATGACAGTATTGTTTAGCCATTTATGAACTGCCAGTATGTAACCAATTATGTTGTATGCCTTTCCCTTCAGTCTAATCGATGCAATTTAGAAAAGCTATCGAAAAAACAATTGGTTTCTCGCAAAGAAGACGCCGACGAGTTCGGCGGCTATTTCGTGGTTAATGGCAACGAACGGGTCATCCGGTTGTTAACGGCTCAGCGAAGGAATTATGTATTGAATTGTCTTTAAAATTACTACAAATTGTACTAAACATGCGATTCATATCTTAAGCCTCTGGCCATCGCTCGAAAGTCGTGGAAAGATAGCGGACAGCTATTCAGTGAATACGGTATATCCATCCGCTGTGTCCGCACCGACCAAATGGGAGGCGTAAGCGATTGCCTGATCATTATTTGTCTTAAGATGTGATTGATAACTCTGAGCCGATTCTGGTTTCCTCCAGAATATGGTTCTCCATTACTTGACGAACGGAACGGCGAGACTGCGATTCTGGTACGCGAGACAACCCATCTATTTGCCACTCATAATGGTGTTGAAGGTGTTGATGGATGTGAACGACCAGTACATCTTCAATGAGCTCACGAAAGGCAAACAGAATGACACGTACTTCAAGGGTTGTGTCACTAATATGTTAAGACTGGTTCACGACGAGAACCTCTACACCAGCAAACAGATCAAGAAGTATA